ACAAAGATCCACCTGCCTCTGCCTCCCGAGTGCTGGGATTAAAGGCGTGCGCCACCACCGCCCGGCTTCAGTTGTTCTTTTTTACATAATTTGTTTTCAAGCTTTTAATAAACACTTACTACAAACCTGACCATGAGCCTTCCTTGGCAGTGTAGAGGGAGATTAAGCCTGGATTCTTCCTTCGGGAGCCCATACTGGGAAGGAGAATACATCAAATGCATAGGGAGAATAGCACAAGGAAGACGGTGACGGATGCCCTGCCTCGGTTGGCAAATCCAGGGAAGAGGATCACTCTAAAAGGCTGGGCGTGCGGGCTTTTTACAGACCGGTGATTCAGAACTGGGGGCAGTGCCATCTTTTTAAGGGAATTAGCAACGGCACAGGTGCGTTCTGTTGTCTTAGTCCCCAGAGGCCGGGTCACCACTGGTATTTAGAGGGCATGTCCAAGAGTGCTAGATGTCCTTTAGGACAGGACACAGCGTAGATAAATAACTGACTTTCTCCTAAGGCAATCCCACTCCCGCTGAGAACCACTAGTATTCGTTGAGGGATGTGTAGAATTTGCGTCTTCGGTTGGAGGCTGTAGCAGTAGGGAGGGACTTCCTAAGCCAAGGCTTCACTCTAAAGAATGTGTGTTGGATGGCAGTGGGCTGTATTTACCATGGGAGGACAAGGTCGAGGCTGGCTTCTGGAGATACTGGAGCTATTAAATAAAACTCTGGGGCTTGGTTGCTTTTAGGAACCACACCACGTAGGCTATTGGAGCAGGGTCCTTGAGAGCATAGGCCTACCCTTCACTTACCATGTGCTCCTTGTAAACATTAGCAAATTTTTTTTTTTTTTTTTTTTTTTTTGGTGAATGAGTGCCCCAGACAAATGGTTTCCAGGACTTGGCCTAGGTGACCCTTGGCTTTTGCCAGGTCTGGGATCTTGTAGTCCGGGGAGAGCCTGACCGTCAGCATTAGCTCTTTGTAGAATAAACAGGGGGTGTGCTGGCCCCCATGTCAATGTCATCTCCATAGCTAAAGAAGAATGTGGCGGCCAGGTGGTAGCAGCAGTAGGTGCCTTTGCTAACCAGAGAAACATCACTTCCAAGAGTCCTCCAGGAAAGTATATTGTTTCCTCTTCTCCCTTGTAGACCGTCTAGGGCCTAGATTCTAGGCCATGCAGCATGCCAGGTGCATGCTGGGCCCTTCATATTAATGCTCTTGCATGTAGAATTGATTGCTAGTGGCCACTCAGACCCGCTTTCTGCTGACAGAGTGCATGCACTGTGACTGTGACCGCCGTTGTTCTTGGGGAGTGACTTGCTGGTCTGTGTGATGATGGCAGCTGCGTGCTGTGGCCTGTGCTGCTACGAGGCAATACCTGGCTTCATTTCTGACAGTTTTCAGGGTGATATGGAAAGGGCATGTGGGTGTGTAGGGTGACTCGATAAGTCTCTTTTTATGGATAAAGCAGCTGTGGTTCAGAGAATGAAAATGACTTGCCTAGGGTCCCGGGTGAGCTGGCCTGGGGTCCCCACTGCCCCTTTAATTGCAGAGCTTGAATTGCACCTTGCTATGGGAGAGAGAGTTCAGTGCATATGCTGCAGATCCTAAGGGTGGCGTGTGACTTCTGGCCCGAATATTACTAGAAGATATGTAAGATGGGCAACCTGCTTTTATCTCCAAGAAGCGTTTAAACAAGGGAGGCATGTGGAAAGCTTTGTCACTGCAAAGAATTGCAGAAACATTCCTGGCATGATTTGGATGTTTGTGGACTGCTAATTGGTGTGACCAGCTTTAGTGAAAGGGTAGGTTAGTGAAAATACCCCTGTTCATACACTTCAGTCACAGAACATTCCCAGGGGGTCACGTGTGCATTGTACAGGGAGGAGATGAAGTACCTGTGACTCCTTTGTTCTATATAGTATGGCGGTGATGTGTGTGTGTGTGTGTGTGTGTGTGTGTGTGTTGGGATTGTTCTTGCCTCATCCGTTCACACCAGGCACCTGGGGCTCAGAGGACAGCTGGGACTTCTTAGGCCACTTAGCTGTTGTCCGGATGCTGGTGTCAGTATGCAGAGACTAATTCTTTCCCTTGTTCCCAAGGTCCGAAACAGTGGTTTTTCTCAGGCTTTTTCATTCTGCATGCTCGATCATCTTGGTTGTCATCCGAATGCTAAGGCCCCGAGTTTCCAAGTTTCTGAAGACAAACTTTAAGATGTTAGGAAATCAGCTATTCAGAGAATTTGGAAATAAAAAGTGTTTCTCAAACTAAATAAAACAAACAAACAAAAAAACAGAACCTCTAAGAATTTTATACATGTATACAATGAAATATCATATACATCTCAGTCCCCACCTACTTCCCCCATCCCTCCCTCCCCCACTCTGATAATTCACTGAGTCCAATTAGTGACATATTGTAGATGGGTGTGGCTCCACCCACTGGAGCATTGGAAACCTCCCGATGGCCACACCCTCCAGCTCTTACATTCTTCTTTCTTACTCATTCTTTACTACTGCCAGAGTGTTTGGGTTGAACGTATTCACAAGTGTACAGAGGCATGCGGTTATCTGCTTTTCCATTTATGGACCAAGATACAATTAATTGATAATCATACTGCAGCCTATATTGTGGCATTTTGTTAACTAACTTATTGGGTGAATTCATTGTCATAAAGGCCATTTGAGGTGGATATTTTCCCTTTTATAGATGAGGAAACTAAGATTTAGAGAAATGAAAGAATTCTTTTAAAATGTGTTTTTATTTGAAATAGAATTGCATGATTTCCCCTCCTCTCTTCTCCCTTCAGTTCCTTCCTGATACCCTCTCTCTCATCCCTCATGTCCCCCCCTCTCAAGTTGATACTCACTTTTGCTTTGATTACCGTTGTTACATCTGTATACACACATATATGTTTACACACACAACTTGCTGGGTCCATTTTTGTTGGTGATGTGTATATGGTTTCAAGGCTGTCAATATCAATGGACTGTTAATGTCCATTGGAATAGTTCACAGGGTCCCATGCCTAGACTAAGAAACACAGGCAAGTTCTAACTGCTGGGAGAACATAGGATTCTTTTGTTTTTGGGGGGAGGGGAGGGTATTTTTGAGACCAGGTTTCTCTTTGTAGCCCTGGCTATCCTGGATCTCACTCTGTAGACCAGGCTGGCATCAGATCCACCTGCCTCTGCCTCCCGAGTGCTGGGACTAAAGGTGTGCCCCACCACGGCAAGTGAACAATAACTAGGATTCTTGCCCAGGTTTTCTGTTTGGGAATCCTTTGTCCTGTACTTTGCCACATCCGTACTATATATGCTTCTCACCCAGGTATAACTACAGAACTGCTAAGGAGGTACCTCTTAGATCCCTGAAGCTACTGACATCGGAGCTAGAGGGTCCTCAAAGAGCTCAGAGGGTTGATGGTTGTCAAGCTGTGGAGCCTCCAGTGTGGTCTTAGAGTTGGGGTGCCAACAAAGTGAGAAGTGGAGGTGGGGGGAGGGAGGCCTGAAGCCTGTTGGCAGCTCTGATTTCCCTCACTTTAAAAACTACACATCTCCTAGTCCTCACTTGGGGGAAGAATTGTGCTGAGATGAAAGGTTGGAAATCACCATGGGAGCCTAGTAAGTCTTTGTGAGGGCTACAGGGCAAAGTGGTTTAGCGTTGCTACTAGCTGTGATGATCCCAGGGCGGAGACACCCAGCTCTGCATGTCCTGGACTCCCTGACACCTAGTTGAAAGCCTCTCTTTGAACTCACATTCCCATCTTGGTGGGATGTAGCTGTTTTCCTTTTTCAAGGAAGTATTTGATCTGCTGAGCTCCCTCTGAGGCCTTGGGAACAGCAGCTGGAGGTTCAGGGTCATTCAGCCCTGAGCAGCTGCAGAGCCCTCGGGCTGCCCTGTGCACAGTGTCCTTGAACTGTGTCTGTCACCCTGGCTCGGTCTTCCCTTTTGACCCTGGCAGTCTTGCTTTGACTGGTTTAATTTCTGTCTAGGAAAAAGTGAATGGTTATGGCCCATATTATATTACGATCCTGAGCCAGCCTTCTAAGGCAGTGCCTGGCTAAACACACCCAGCCATTGCGTGCTCACTGGGAAAGGCATCTGGCAGTGGGTCTGTTATTGTCAACTACTTTTGGAGGTGGCTATGCTACATGTGATTATTACACATGTTAGTTATAGGGAGTGTATTTTATTTCATGGAAGTGACGTGGTTAGAAGGTGGGCAATGGGGGAGAAGACAGACATAGGGAATTGCAAGGGGTGGAGTTTGTACTGTCAACGTGTTAGTATTGGCCTCTTGCATTTACCATCTCTGGGATTTAAATATGCTGTCTTTAACATTCATTTCCTCTGTAATACGGGAAGAGCGTGCCTAGCTCATACGGTTATTACTGCTATTAAATAATACACCACACACAAATCTATGGACATGTAAAACCGCAGTGCAATTGCTAACGTAAAGTAAATCTTTATCACATCATAGTTAGTGCTGTTAGTATTTCTCAGTGGGGAGCAAAAGAGCTTTTTTTTTTTTTTTAAATCTTACCTGTGGTGTGATCAGAGCTTTACTTTTATAACAAAAAGAAACAGAGCAAAACCCCATTCTTTTATCTCAAAACCGTCGGTTTTATTTACCGCTCTGGGTTGTTTATATCCACCTCTCTGGACACCCTTCACCAGTGACCTTAGATGCTGCTATTGACTGACACTAGTTGGCTGCTGTTCCCTAGCATATCTTCTCACTGCCTACGTTGGAGTCTTTCTTCTTATCTACTATGTCCCTTTGCATCTTCGTGATTGTTTTCTCCTGCAGCCGCTTTTAATACCTAGCCCTAAGTCTAACCCAGCTACTGGGATGAAGTCAAGGAACCATAGCCTGCCCTCCACAGTAGTATCCTCCTAGCAGGGGGAGACAGCATTGAACTGTTTTCTCACCAGCCTAGGGATGAACTTCTGGGGGATATATGGTCGCCTCCTAAATGACAGTGAGTCCTTGATGCTTTGCAGGACCTGAAGAGAATCCTGACAGCTAGAGTGTTGGAAGAGGCTTGAAAAGAAGGCAAACAGGAAGGAGGCTTCACTCTCTGAGCTGCTTGGGACCCCTCTTCGGGGTGGTCTCCAGTGAGAAGGCTGGTATGTAAAGGGACCGGGTGGGCGGGCGGGTGGGCTCACCCTGCTGCTGGCTGCATGCTGCCTCCGGGGGTGTCAGGCTCCAGGTGGAACCTCTGTGAGCAGGAAGGGTTAACTGGTTGGAGATCCTTATCCTTTCGTTATCTGCAACTGGAAATGTCTTGTGCCCTTGATTAATTCACGCATGGATGCTTCCTCAGCCTCCTTGGTAAATAGCTCCTTACTGAACATTTATTTCCCCACGGGCTTACTGCCTGAGACTGAAGCCCGTGTTTCTAACAGCTACTCTAAGGAAAACATCAAAGGCCACATTTCCGGAGCTGAGACTCTCAGGGGCCTTCCAGATGTCCATCTCTATTACCTCCTCCTTGCCCAACATTTGCTTTTAGCTGAAAAGGGAGATTTTGTCTTGAGTTGCCCTGTAGACGTGTGTGACTTGGAATGTGAGACCCTGACAGCTGCTGCTGAGCTTTGAGCTCCAAGTGTGAGCAGCCTGTAGACCTAACCTGTGGAACACGGAATCATTCTCCCTTGATTCCCAGGGCCTAGTGTTTCTTTGTCTTGTGAATGACCTCACTGCTTTTTGTATTTGTAATGGAATGCACAGTCATTTACAAGTAATCACACAGTAATCCCTCACACTTGGAGAACGCCTTACTCTTTTTCCAGAGGGCTTTCACTCTCATTATCTCATTTGATCCTTATAACTGCTCCGAGAGGGAGGCAGAGTTACTGCTTTAATCTCCGATTTTCAGGGGTAGAAACCGAGGCTTAGAGAAGTTAAATAGTAAACCAGAGGTCACACAGTGAGTATGGGACAGAGTCAGACCTGGAGTCTCAAGTCGGCAGGTTCCTTTGCCTACTCTGCTGCTGTGACCTCAGGAGTGTGTGCGATGGTTCTGAGCCTCTGTCTCCCTTTTGGCACATTGGGTATTCTGCTGCCCCAAAGGCAGTTGTGAGTAGAGATTCAATGAGACTGCCTGGGGAGGCATTTATGTGTGGTGGATGGAACGCACCAGTAACGCAAAGCACTACTGTTTTGACTACATGAATCTTAAATGCAAGTAGTGCATCTGAACTGTAGCTGAAGGGAATACTTCGTCTTCTCAACCTCCTGAACATTTCTGAGGTACTCCAACCCTGTGACGAGCAAATTGACCTTGCTGCCCTGGGTCGTTTGGAGAATTGTGCTGACCCTCCTCTTCTACAGAATTCATCCTTAATGTTCTTTGGAAGAGCCTTAGAGGCACATGTTTAGGTATGGCAGGACTGGATTCTAATGCTGAAGAATGGGATCTGCATTTCAGACTTCATCCATGAAGGATGGGCACGTAGCAAGGCTGGCGGAATAGAGATGGATGGAGTGCTAGGCTTGAAGGTTGCTGTTTTTCATTGCACACAGACCCAAAGAAGTCCATTTGCTGTGCATGGTCGTGCAGACCAGTAAGTAACCCAAGGTACTATGGAGGCTAGAGCAGGTGGCTTTCAATTTTAAGGTCTACCCAGGGTATAGAAGTGAGTACAAGGTCATCCCGATCCACTTAGTGATGCTGTGTTTCAAAATTAAAAGTAAGAAGTGGAAAGAAGGCTGGAGAGTCAGCTCAGTGGTAGAGCACTTGCCTAGCTTGTCTGTGTCTCGCTCTTACACACGTACACACCAACTCTCACACGTGGCACACATACCCAGAGGGGATAATGTAGCAGGAATCTTAAAGGGTCTTATTAATAAAATCAAATCTGAGCCAGGTATTGGGGTGAATGCTGAATGATCAGAGAAACAGAACAAGCCACAGCCACCTCACCTCATCATTTCCTCAACTGATCCTGTTTCCTCAGACTGGAAGCCTCTCAGTCCTCATCCCGAATGAATCTCAGCTGAACTGCTGCTAAAAGTCTAAAAGCTTAACCAGCCAAATGCTTCTAGTTCCTGGTTTTCACGCCTTATATATCTTTCTGCTTTCTGCCATCACTCCCTGGGATTAAAGGCGTGAGTCGCCATGCCTGGCTGTTTCCAGTGTGGCCTTGAACTCACAGAGATACGAGGGATTTCTGCCTCTGGAATGCTAGAATTAAAGGCGTTGAGTGCCACCATTTTCTAGCCTCTGTATCTAGTGGCTGTTCTGTTCTTTGACCCCAGATAAGTTTATTAGGGTGCACAGTATTTTGGGGAACACAATACCACCACAGGATAACACATATACACTCACACACAGGGAACACACATGCTCATACACAGAGGAGAACATATTGTTGAAATTATTATGGCCACTCCACGTAGTTAAAAGGGAGGTTTATTTTGTGGGGTAACTCATAAATGAAGGGACAGGCTACAGGGTCTGGGGAAGATGTAGCGCAGTCCAGCGGTGTTCTCTGAAGAACTCTGTTCGGTCTACCTCTAGCGTCCAGGGTCCGGGAACCAAGAGAGGGTGGTGCATCTGGATCTCGGGTCTTCAGGCCCTCTCTTGGCCCCGCCTTGTAGGCGTGATAGTTACCGAAGCCTCAATGGGGGTTGGAACTTCCAGACCAAAGCTGGAGTGGCTACCCACTACAGGAACACACACACACACACACACACACACACACACACACACACACACAGTGGTGGGGGGAAGGAGAGGAGAGACTGGATTTTGTAGGGCACTTCTGAGTTCACAGGATAGCAGTGTATATGTTGAGTGTATTACTATTGGAACACACTCCAAAGAGTGGATTTCATCTTGGTAACAGTTGCATGAAGAGTCAGTAATGTGATGTGGTCAGGAGAACAGCAGAGCTGAGTATGGACTGAGGTCTTGGATAGCTTTGTTTCTGTATACACAGCTACCTACAAAAATGCCACACCAGTGAGATAAGCATTGACCTATGGTCCTAAGAAGCAGAACAGGGCAGGAGGTTGAAGGCCAGGGAGTCAGACTGGTTTCCATATAAGGAAGAACTTTCTTGTGCAAAGATGGAATTAACAGCTGTGGGGAAATATGATCTCTGTCTCATGGGAGACAGTGGGGATGCTCAGGGGGATCCATGAGCAAGCAGTCAGGCACATTGGGTCAGAGGTGCTCCATGGCTGGGAGGAAGAAAGAACACATACATGAAGGGAGTGGAACATCCCTTTGCTGATAAGGAGACTAACTTCGAAATGTTTGCAGAGTAGAGGTGAATGTGAGTCTTCCTTTCCGATTTTCATGTTTATCCTGACGCCTCGCTGCTTGGAACTTGGTTTGGGAAGTTCTCAGCCCTTCCCTTGGTAGTGTCTACAGTGAGACATCTTAATTCTCTGCGCTAAACTGCTCCTGTCTATACACCAGTGGAAACTGTGCTCCGGACAGAATGAGGAGCACCCCTTCCCTCCCCACCCTCCTACGAGACCCTGGGAGCAGTGCAGCATGGGAACTGAGTCCTGAGTTCTGGTTCTGGTGTGTGGTGGCAGGTGCTTTGGTCCGGTTGTCTTACCTATTTCCAGGGTCACTTACGTTTGTGTGCACAGCATTGTGCAGCCGTGAATGTCTGTAGAACAGCCCCCACCAGCACCCACGGAATCTCATGTCTGTCTTTCGTTCTTTCTCCCTTGATTTGGCCTTGAGTCACTTAGACCAGACTCACTCTTGATTAGCTTTTCAGCTCCAACTTAGTCATCAAACATTCCACAGAAGCTCGGGGTTAGAATTCATTTTACAGATTTTACTATCTGATTTGCCTTCCCCTCTCTTAGCAGTCATGCTCTGCCCATGGTCTGGCTTGACTGTGCATCAGGGATCCTGATGTCTGTCTCATGATAAGAATTCAAGCCAAACCAAGTGCTCAGGAGGCTCTCCAGCCCAAAGGTCTTCGGACACTTCTTTCAATATCTGTGTAATGTGGGCTACTCAAGATGCCATGTATTGTATGACCTTAAAAAAAAAATTGTCGTGTGTAAGGCATTGATTGGCTTTTTGTTCAGTTTAACTTAAAAGCATTCGTTGTCTGTAATCATTGTACACACTGCACTTTGACACAGTTGTGCCGTGCGGCCTCCCGCCCCGGCTTCCTTCCTCCCCATGCCCATCTCTGATTAGTTGCTGTCCACCTACACAGGTTTCCTCTTCTGCTCTCATGTCATGTACACATCAGTGATTTTGTGTCTGTGTAACGTCCGGGAACCACAAACTAGAGAGGACATGCTACGTTGTTCCTGAGACTGGCATAATTCCCTTCCTCTGACCATCTCTAGTTGTGTCTGTTTTCCTGCAGACGGCAGAACTGACCCCATCATGCTGATCTGTCACATTTTCTTTATCCATGCCTGTGTGTTTCTTAGTTATTGTGAATGCTGCTGTAATACACATCGATGTTGGAGTATCTCTCTAACGTGTTGGCTTGGTTTGGTCACTATGCAGGAGGAGGATAGTTGGATCAGATGATGGTTGTAAGTTTAGCTTCTTGAGGGAACCTCTATCCTGATTTTCAGAGTGGCCGGGCCAGTTTTCATTCTACCAACAGTGTTTAAGTGTTCTTTTTTGTCCACGCCCGGGCAGCAATCATTGATAGGGAGAGACATACTGAGTGGAGCGAGATGGGATCTCAGTGGAGTTTTCCTTGGCATTTCTCTGATGGTTAGTAATGCTGAACATTTCATACTTACTGGCCATTGTATTTCATCCTTTGGAAGCTGTGTCTTCAGCCCATTCATTATCTGCGTTTTTAAATTTTGTGTTGCTTACCCTGTGGAGTTGTTTGTTCTAGACATTAATCTTCTCTCAGATGAATAGCTATCCAAGATTTTGCTCCTATTCTGTAGGCTGTCTCTTGTGGCATTTGGGACAGTCTTAGAGGTAGACTTTAAGCTTTCAGACCAGCCACTTCCTATGCTGGGTTGGGAGGCTGTTTCCTGGAACAGGATCTTGTGTGTGTGTGTGTGTGTGTGTAGTAGTTGACACTCCATGTCTGTCTGGTGTGTGTGTGTGTGTGTGTGTGTGTAGTAGTTGACACTCCATGTCTGTCTGGTGTGTGTGTGTGTGTGTGTGTGT